GGCACCAATTCCTGGTCCTGCCAGCCTACTGCCATGGTCCTCATATGCGTGCTTGTTGTGTTGTTTGGTTTGTTTGTCTGTGGGTTTGCTGGTGTGGGTTTTTCAGTTCTCTACATTTTTTGGGTTTCGTATCGGGATATTATCAGGATATTATCGATAATATCTCGATATATTGCCCAAATCATTCATAAAAATGTTGATATCGATATAATGACGATAATACTATGGTTAGTTATTAAAATATCGGACCCCCAAAAATTAGATATTATCAGGATAATATCGGGGATATTATCGATATTTAATACCTTGCTAGCAACAACTATGGTGAAAGTGTGTGAAAACATCATAATCAAATAAACAACACACAGCAGATAGTGATGACTAGTCAACCGCAAGAACACAAACCTAGAAATGCATGAACATCATGCGAGGACTAGTCAACTATCAAGAACACATCATAATCAAATAAACAGCACACAGCAGATAGTGATGACTAGTCAACTGCAAGAACACAAACCCAGAAAATGCATGAACATCATGCGATGACTAGTCAACTATCAAGAACACAAACCCATAAAATGCATGGACATCATGCGATGACTAGTCTACTGTCAAGAACACAAACCCAAAAAATTACAGAGATTCAAACCAGAAATTGTTCACCCAGAAACCCACCATTAGGAAAAACTGGGGGTCATCAACCGACCAGGCAATCCACTAAGCAAAAAGATTCTTACAAAGAAACACTAGCAAGCTCAACAAATATTAGGTCTATTTAGGAAGATGAGCTATACCTCTTTTGTGCAATCTTCTTCTCCAGCTTAGCAAAACCAGCAGCTTGGTCCTTCATGGCAATGATAGCTCCTTCTTCAGCTCATTCATCCCATGGCACCAGCTAGCTAGCTCAAACTCAGACAAAAACGAAATTTGGATTCAAGGAGAAAATGACCAATTTATTCAAGAAATCATACTCTTGAAGAAATCAATCTTGAATCTGACTTAGACATACATATATGAGAGAGTATTTGATCTAGCAAGATGAGGTTTTCATATTTCTAATGCAGTTTTCAAAAAGAAACAATTTGGAAAACTCAAAGATGAAAAATATGAAAGTTACTCCTGAGGAAGAAGCGAAAGTTTGCAAAGAAACTTTCCAAAACTTGCCTACCAAAGTGACGGCTGCCAAATGAGGAATGCATTGGCTTTTACACAAAAATTCCTAGGTTAGAATCGTACAAGGCAGCAGGGAATTTCACAGAATATGAAAAAATAGATGGGTAGAGTCCAGCTGGAAATAGTGAGCTGGAAATCCCACTAAGGCAGAGGTTGACTAGTCATACGAAGGAAAGATGACTAGTCATAATCTTTAGAAGTTAGAAAATGCAATGTAATGCAATGCAAGATTTACCTTTTGTCAAATCCATTGTTGTCCATCATAATGTAGCCAAATAAGCATACCTAGAGATGTAATTCTTAATCTAAACTAGAGCTTGAGAAAATACAATGATTGTCCTATTACAAAATCGTCAAGGGAAGCCAAAAGAAAATCACAAAATGTATACACTTACACCAAGCAACTTCTGACCCAAAAGCCATAGGAACAGAGGCAAGAAACATCATAATTTTCATGATCGCCAACGAAGTTAACGCATATTCACAACCCGGAGCAGGACCACTTGGGCTAGCAACAAAGAAGAAGAATTAATAGAAAATTTGGCATAAGTCCAATTATGATGAGAGATATTGGGTGTGATCCACACAGAAGTTATTATTGATCCAAGTCCTTTGACTTTTGCACCACCTAAGATTACATGGCTTTTTCAATTTATTGATGTTTACTTTTATTTAATTTTTTTTTTGGTTCCAATTATGCCCCTAAAACATAAATAAGGTAAATTATGGATTTGTAAAACTAGTAAGTTATTGATTTGTAGGACATTAATTATCATATTTGATTTGAATATAATTGAATTTTGAAAATTTCCCATGGTTACCGACCTTAAAATTTGTAATAAGAGTTCATGGAAACTTCATACATTAACAATAGGTAAGGTACCTATGCATACACCTCTTGTGCATGTAATTAAACCCATAAATTACCTCTAGTCAAGGTAATTAAATCCATAAGTTACCTCTAGTATAGGTAGTTATACCTCTAGTCAAGGTAATTAAATCCATAAATTACTTAAGAAAACTCAAGAATTTTTTTTTTACCTGTAAGGCAGGTACATGTATATATATATATAAGAGGAAACGTCATATATAAGGAAACACACACGTACACATAAATAGAAACACCAAATTTTAGGAAAAGTGTTTTCATATAATTCATTTTTATGATAATGGCATATACTGTAAATTCTTAAAAAATTATAGACATACTAATTGATTACTTGGTGAGAATGGACTGCAATTGAAAAGGGAAAGCATGTGGAATGCATTCATTACATCTTGATGAAAATGGACCTATATCTAAGAAGCCCAAGAAATAAAAGAAATGGTAAAAATGAAAGGCAAACATGATATTCATATAGTCCTTCACTTTACCGCACAAGAGTAATGGACAGGACGCACCATCGTACCATAAAAATGCAAGCATAATAGACAGAACCTGCAGACACGCACATTGCCACATTTCACTTAGATGAAATCAATAGCACAATGTTTGATTACCGAAAAACATAAACATTATTAAGTTTCTCAAGAAGCAAACATAAAACAGATCATTACCAGAAATTTTCATCTACATCTCAAAATTGATTCCGAAATGTACAAATAAATAAAGATAGAAAATTCTTATCTACTTGGGAGAAGAAAAAAAAAATTCTGCTTTTGTTGGCAAGCATGATTTTACCAGTGCATGAAGGTTTTTATCCAACCACAACAGAGAGATTATATGGAAGTTTGAAAAAAGAGCTGAAAACCTTTGCAACTTTTATTGGAAAACCATAATATTTCACAACAGATTATAAACAACCAACGTACTATAACCATACAATTATCTAACTTTATAACTTTGACTTTATGTCCTGCATGAGGCATGAACAAGCAATCAACTTAGTATTGTGTATGAAGCAATATTTTCATGCCTAGTTATTTATTAGACACCATTTGTTCATTGCAGTTGCTCCTATGCCTCCAAGTTCAGAGCTTGAAATGAGTCAAGGCAGAGGTCCCATCAAGGCCTTTGTTATGGAAGTGAGCATTAAAGTCCTTCAAAGTTGTCTCCCTGTACTTTGGAAGATTTTCTTCCGACAGCAACTCCTTAATGGGTCCATAGATTTGTGGCAATGCTAAAAAACCTGTGTTAAAGAAACTCGCAACAGATACTCTTGGACCGCCGGCATGATTTGCCAATACCCTGTGTTCTACACTCCTGAATCTGTCATTTGATATAAGCTGAAAGTCCAAAAGAATTTAATATCAGAAAACCCAAACTAGGAAACGAAATTGAAGAATTTGAGCCATATTCTAATGACTATACTACAACAGCGGGACAGTCAGAAGCCCTATGCGAAAACTAAAGTGAGGCCATGCTACTACACTGCCAAAACTTTTCTCAAATTTTAAACAAGAAAACAATATAAAATATATAAAAAAATTCCCTATCCCAGGATATATCCTGGTGTATGAAAGTTTTCCTCACATTCTGGACAACCTAATACATGTGTTCAATCATAATGTAATAGTAACTTTTTAATTAAAAACAACCCAACTGTATCTCCTACAAAATATAAAAGAGGAATAAGAATTATAGTTATACTTGCCTGTAGAAGATCTCCAATGTTAACCACTAGAGCCCCAGGCACAGGAAGTACATCAATCCACTTGTTCTGATTAAGAACTTGAAGACCACCAATATGATCTTGCAGGAGGACTGTGATAAAGTCATTGTCAGCGTGCTTGCTTGCGCCCAAAGTTAACTCTGGCTGTGGACAGGGGGGATAGTAATGGCCTATTAACTGAAGCCCTAAACTACAATCCATGTCATTCAAGTGACTTGGCTTCAGCCCAAGCGCCTCAGACAGCAACTCGAACAACAACTTCCCCAACTTCATTACTTGCTTGGAGTACTCAACAAGTATGTCTCTACAAAACTGAAACCCAGAAAAACTAAGGCTCCGTTTGGATGGAGGGATTTGAAAGAAGGGATTTAGATTTAACAAAGCTAGATTTGCTTTAAAAAACAAGACCCGCATTAGATTGAATGTGTTGATGCTCAAAATGGTTGGGCCAAGATTGAGTCCAACTTAGTGATGAGGTGTGATGGATGATGGGTGAAGGTTTGGACCTTCTGCGTGTATGTGAGGATTTGGCCAATTTATAAATACACAAAAGACAAGATATATGTGGTTCACCCTTAATGAATGGGCTACGTCCACAGAGAATATGTTCTCATTATGATATTGTTTACATTTGTACAAGGGGATTAGACCCAAAGATAAATGGAAGAAGGCCTAGGGCCTAAGGTACAAAGTTAGGAGTCTGGAGCCCAGAGGTCAAGTCCCCGGGTCTGGAGACCCAGGACTCGAAGGCCAGACTAACAGGAGAGTCCTGAAGAGGGAGCCCAGCTCAGTTTCGTATCCCCCCTTAAGTGGAGAGTGGTATGCTTTTATAGGTGAGAGGGAGCCTTCACTTCTTGTTGTTTTCCGATGTGGGACTCCTCTTGCTTTGCTTAGAGTTTCTTCTAGTTGCTTGGTCAGTTATGGTGTCAACAAATGTAAAAATCAGGCATTCAAGTATGATTAGGAAAATTCATCTCTCTCCATAGCAACGTGACATTTGATAATTTAATTATCTTGACATTAGCGAAAAGGTAATCTTACTTTAACAAAAAATTAAAAAAGGCTGCTTTTCTTTTTGTAAAGTTATAAAAAATTTATCTGGTCCTGCCCACCTTAGGGCCTTTGTGCAATTATCCACTACTTCAGTACCAAACATAAAAAGAGTGGGGCAGTAATCCGCTGTTTTTCGGGCTTTACACAACATAACTGGTTTGCGCTCCCGTCTATCTCATATACACCCCAGATTCGCTCCTAAAACCCTAAATCGTGCATATACCCCGGTAAGATTTTCATTTTTCCTGCTTTGCCTACAAATCGGATTCTTCAAAATCCTCCACATCTAGAGCTACCAATCAGCCAACTTTGAATTCCATCTCACTGAGTAAGACTCCTGAAATCCTCTCCGCTAATTTTTCCCATTTTGGTTTTGGTTTTGAAGGAATCTGTGTTAAGTTATTTGGGGTTTTCAGGGTCCAATGGCTGCTGCTCCTAACAATGCGCCGACGGCTGTGGACAAGGAACAGGTAAGCACCCTTGGCTTCATTGTCTTTTAGTTTCTACCTATTGGACAGTGTCAAGCAATTGAATTATTAGATTGAAATTTTATTTGTGCCAAAGATCGGATTTTGGGGCAAGTTTTGGGATTTCATGGATCAGATGCTAAATGGGTATTTAGAACTTGCATCTTCTGTAAACTTGGGTGTAACCAAATTTGGTCATGGTCTGTAAATGGTCAATGATGGCAGGTTTAGCCTTAGTGAAACCAAGGCATTTCCTGGGAGTTGGGAAGCAACAACGTTGTTCATTTTTATGGATTAACAATCTTTTTCTTATGAATTATTGTCCAAAAAGTGGTAAGAGTGGTGCTTTTGAAATAATCTTGACGTTTTGGAATGACTTGAAGTTTGTTTTTCACAAATTTTGCAGATTTTTGGTATGGCAGAGAAGGAGATGGAGTACAGGGTTGAGTTGTTTAACAAGTAAGTTCTCCGTGTGGTGTTGTTAGATGTCACGGTATACCAATGTGGTTTTTTAAGGAATGTGGGGTTTTTGCAAGGCTTATTATCTGAATTCTTCAAGCTCAGCTCCTGTAGTTAGAGCAATTCTTTGCGCTTGCCTGCTTCACTTCTATTTTCATACTTCGTGAGCATATACGGTGGTGCACAAAAGAAAAAAAAAAGCTTATGATTGATACTTCCAAAGCTACCTGACTTGTTAGTGTTGTTGTGTAATTCTGCGAGCATTATAGTAACCTTGTGTTATACACTTAGCTAAGCACATCTATTTAGGTTGTGAATGTAAATTTGGTATATGCAATTTTCCATCTCTAATACTTTAGCTGTTGTGGTTATCCAGTTTTCATTAATGATTTTGATTGTTTTTTTTTTCATATTCAGGCTTACCCACACATGTTTCAACAAGTGCGTTGAGAAGAAGTATGAGAACTCTTTTCTTTTCTCTTTTTATGTTCTATGGACCTGTATGAAAGATGTGTGGCATTTTACTTTTAGGTCATTTTATTCTTAATACTGAAGTTAGTGAATTTGAATTTGTCAAATCATCCAGGTACAAGGAGGCTGAGTTAAATATGGGTGAAAACAGTTGCATTGATCGCTGTGTCTCAAAATACTGGCATGTAAGTTATCAATCTGTTTTCTTATGAATTTGGTGCTATGGTTTCCTTGTTCTTTCAGTCATTTGATTTCTTACGTCTATTTTAATGTCTTATCTATTGTCAGTGAAGTTCTCTAAATAATTTCTTTGGTCAAATTTTAAAACTACTGGGATAGCAATTTTCTTTTACAGTAATTTTAAATGAGTCAAGGCAGAGGTCCCATCAAGGCCTTTGTTATGGAAGTGAGCATTAAAGTCCTTCAAAGTTGTCTCCCTGTACTTTGGAAGATTTTCTTCCGACAGCAACTCCTTAATGGGTCCATAGATTTGTGGCAATGCTAAAAAACCTGTGTTAAAGAAACTCGCAACAGATACTCTTGGACCGCCGGCATGATTTGCCAATACCCTGTGTTCTACACTCCTGAATCTGTCATTTGATATAAGCTGAAAGTCCAAAAGAATTCAATATCAGAAAACCCAAACTAGGAAACGAAATTGAAGAATTTGAGCCATATTCTAATGACTATACTACAACAGAGGGACAGTCAGAAGCCCTATGCGAAAACTAAAATGAGGCCATGCTACTACACTGCCGAAACTTTTCTCAAATTTTAAACAACAAGACATTATGAAAGTTTACCTCACATTCTGGACAACCTAATACATGTGTTCAATCATAATGTAATAGTAACTTTTTAATTAAAAACAACCCAACTGTATCTCCTACAAAATATAAAAGAGGAATAAGAATTATAGTTATACTTGCCTGTAGAAGATCTCCAATGTTAACCACTAGAGCCCCAGGCACAGGAAGTACATCAATCCACTTGTTCTGATGAAGAACTTGAAGGCCACCAATATGATCTTGCAGAAGGACTGTGATAAAGTCATTGTCAGCGTGTTTGCTTGCGCCCAAAGTTAACTCTGGCTGTGGACAGGGGGGATAGTAATGGCCTAGAACCTGAAGCCCTAAACTACAATCCATGTCATTCAAGTGACTTGGCTTCAGCCCAAGCGCCTCAGACAGTAACTCGAACAACAACTTCCCCAACTTCATTACTTGCTTGGAGTACTCAACAAGTATGTCTCTACAAAATTGAAACCCAGAAAAACTAAGGCTCCGTTTGGATGGAGGGATTTGAAAGAAGGGATTTAGATTTAACAAAGCTAAATTTGCTTAAAAAAAACAAGAACCACATTAGATTGAATGTATTCTAAATAACTAGACATTTGAAATGACTATATGGAAGGAATCATTTGAAATCCACTTATTTTCTTCCTTTCTTTCTTGTTCAAATCTTGGCATATATGGATTGTAATAGTCTATACAAACAATTTTACTTTATAAAAAAAATTTCATCTAAATTCATAGATTTGAAATCCCTCCACGGAAATGGAGCCTAATATCATATTAAACCAGAAAATTATGAGCTTCCTTGTCACATACCTGCATACTTGTGGCAAGTCTTCTGGCTTAGGAGGATTAGGAGCCATATTACACAAAAAAGTGTCCCTCCAATTAGCCCCCGGTGCACTATAAAGATCAAAGTTGCTGTTGTAGATCATAGGTCTGAAGTGATCACGAGTGTAAAGCTCCTTCTTCACCTCAGTGTCTTGCTCAAAAAAACCACGTACCCCATTCTTTATCTCTTCCAAAACATCAACAGCTATGCCATGATTGGCAATTTGGAAAAAGCCCCAAGTCTCTGATGCCTCTGCAACTTTGGCAACAATCTCCTTGCGTTTGGTTGGATTGTTATCATATTCAAGGCCTTCCAGGTCTATGACTGGAATTCTGAGCTGGGTTTTGGTCAGTTCTGAATCACAAGTGCTGTTGATGGGATACTGATCTACTGGTAGATGAAAAATTCTTGGAACCTGGGTTATCCCAGCATCAACAAGGCCCTTAACACCTTCCTTTGTGTCATCAAAAGTTTTTACTTCACTTTTTCTGTCATAATTTGCTATGCCTGGAACCTCATTTGTGCTGGTGGCTACCATTTTCGTTTGTGTCTGCAGGATGGTAGAGCTAAAGCTTATCAAACTACATATGGATTGCCAAAGTTCAGACCATAAATGAGTGAGGTTGGAAGAAACTACAAGCAACATATTTGCCAAGAGTCAAGACATTGGGGCGTGTTGACGCTGAAGACATTTTTGTGGTGGCCAAAGGATATACAATGCCAATTCATTATTTGGATTGGTTGGCTGTCACTGAAACTAGAGGTGAGAAATTTCAAGATTGAGAAATTTCATGATTGAAAGAAAACTAAAGGACGTCTCAGAAACTAGAGGTGAGAAATTTCATGATTGAAAGAAAACTAAAGCACGTCTCGTAACCAAGGTCTTAAATATCAATAGTTTTGGAAATATCGGTGGTTCAAAAACACGGAAATATCAATAGAAATATCGAGAAAATATCGATATCGATAAAAATTAAATAAAAACCACAGAAATTATGATAAATGCATGGAAATTTTTAATGAAACTTTAGAAGAAGTTTATTTAGTCAATCATCTATCATTTTGACACAAACAATTGGAAGGAAATGCATTGCATAGTGAGTTTGAGTGATTTAAGTTGATTATATTACGAGCTGACAAATTCTGTGACTTAGAAAATCTGGAGTAATTAATGAAAGAGAATTAAACACCCCCCAGTAATTCATTTATCATTTTTTAGTACAATATTTTACATTTATAAATTGCATGGTAAGATACATGAGTAACCTTATTTCACGTTATTCACTCCGTGGTACACATTCTTATATTTATTATTTATCATAAATTGAAATATAATTAAAGATGTAAACCAACTTGATTTGTCACAGGGAGGACATAGAATCGCATTGAAGATCCAGTTGATGATATAGAATCGCATTGTAGTTTCAATTTTTATTTTTTTTTGGGGGTAAATCAAGCATTGTATGCAGCAGATATAGGATGTCAATACATTTGCGATATAGGGACTCCAATGGCAAATAACAAGTGGCTCACAAACTAAACTCTGGAAAGACCGTTGGATTCCTAGCCTTCTTGGGACCCTTGAGGGAGACAATAGCAAGGGCCATTTGGATGACACCTTAGTTGGGTCTATCATTGATCATGAAATAGGTACTTGGAATTTGGATTCAATCCGCCACATGATTTCTGATGATGAGGAAATTTCTATCCTGAGAACACCCATTGGTCACAGGGAGGACATAGACTGCTTAATTTGGCCATATGAGAAAATTGGCAGGTATACCGTTAAATCTTGCTATCATTGGGTGCATCACAAAAACCAAGCATTGAACCATCAACATCCTTCAACCTCCATTGCAATTACAAAGGATATCTGGAAATCCTTATGGAAGACTCAAGCCCCCCCCCCAAAGAATCCGTAATTAATTTCATGTGGAGGATCTTTAGAAACAGTCTCGCAACCAATGACAACCTGTGCAAAAGAAGAATCAGACAATCCCCCATTTGCTCCATCTGCGGGTCGCATGAGGAGACACTTGAGCATCTTTTGCTTCTATGTCCTTGGGTTAAAAGTGTATGGTTTGGTGGCTGCCTAACTTACAGAGTCAACCCTCAGGAAGTCACCAATATTGGCCAATGGTTCTCCAATATTCTCAAGATCTATGCAAAAAGCAAGGATGAGTTAAGGTGGGTCACAACACAGATTGCTTTCACCTGGTGGAACATATGGAAAACCCAGTGTAATGCTGTTTTTGAGCACCAAAGACCATCCCCAGAAGCAATAATTTATGCTACCACACGGGTGTAACAAGTTTCCTTGCTGCCCAAACGACCCATACCCACAACAACATTCTAAGTTTGAACAACCATCAAGCTACTCCCTCTGTCTGGTCACCCCCATCTGGAAATACCGTCAAAGTCAACGTGGATGCGGCATGGAACCCAAGAAATGGCAAGGCCGGACTTGGAATTATAATTAGAGACTCCCAATGCAAGTTCATCGCCGCAAAGATAGCTCAAATTACCACAAATTCTGTTTTGGAAGCCAAGGCTCAGGCACTTCTTTGGGGATGCATGTTGGCTCAGGAGAGGGGGAAAAGACATGTAATTTACACATGCTAAGAGAGAGAGAGAGAGAGACACACACACACACACAGAGACACAGAGAGAGAAGAGGGGTCCTATGCGATGTGTTTTGGGGGCGAGTGGGGTTTGGGGTAGGGGAGAAAGGGAGAGAGAGGTCTCTTTTTTCTCTCTTATTTTTTCCTTGAAAATGGAAATACTAAAATACCCTTTAAAATATATGGAAATTGGATGGTGTTATAGTCAGATGACAAATCATGGATTTTGAAAAATTAAGGGGACATTGCTCTTAAATTTTTCTTTAAGAAGACAAATTGTAACTGAGGTATAAGTTTAGGTGACATTTCTACAAAACTCCGTTTATTTTATAAAAACTAACATTTATGAAAGTACAGGATAAATTTTGGCTATTTATGATAAAAACTAATAATTTTCTTCACTTAGGAGCAACTGGCTAGTCTAGTGAAAAACTTTCCTCTTTTATTCTTGACAGATTTGGTGCCTTAAATGGATACGAACTCAATAAGGTTCTTACACTTTGTTGTGGAAACTAGCATATTGTCGAACCTAGCACTAGTGTTTATTCTTGGTTCACAGTCTTCACCCAATTGTCTTTTATGAGCAATGCAATGCCTGTTACTAACTAAGACAAAACCCTAGAGAGTGCTTCAGCAGGATGACATCAAATATAGTTACTTAAATTTGTGCTATGCATACCTTCACACCAGTTACAATTCTTATTAAGTTCCTAAAACTTGAGATATGAGCAAATTCGACTTTGGCTAGTCGCGCCTTTATTGGAACTTCAATTTTGATATGTGCTGCATGCTATCTTATGGCATAACGTGTGTGATTTCGACCAAAAAAAAAAATCTTGTGGCATAACGTGTGTGTTTTTGTATGAGATTTTGAAACTGGAATTTTAAATTGCAAGCTTTGTTTATTAGTTCTTCATTTTAAAATTTGAAGAACATGAATTTCTTGTTGCAATAAAGTTCATTCC